CCCAAACTTTCTGAAGCCCTGCAACACTCCTACTTTGAATGAGCTTCAATAACCCTAACAACCGTCGGTTCCTTACTCATGTACTCACACAAAGCAAATGTGCACAGGTTCACTGACCGGTCACGACAACGGGCTGACAATTGGAGGCTTTTTAAATTATAGTGGCAGCAGTGAGAATATTAATTTTATTTGTATTGCGACACTGTGTTTCTAATGCACAAACAGCATGTCATGACTGTAAATCTAACGTTGACAAACTATCATCGGACAATTCTGGGCAGTAACAAAAGCGACAGTTCTGGTATTACATCTACACTTCCGCCTGCCGCCGTAACCACTTATTCATGTGAAATGTACTCTTGGGCCGGGGAAAGCAGAACGTACAAACTCAACCGGTAAAATATGAACTCAGTGGCCTTTTCAAATTTGGTTTCGGGGACTTTGTGCATTTCCCCCGCATCTTTCACGGGGCAATTTACAGATTCCCTCAAATTCCAGGGCATTCCCGGGTCTCAGAGATTTTTTCCCTTCAGATTCCGGGATTCCCATGTCATTCCATGGGCCCCCATAGCTCGGCAGTCACCCTGCGTAGAATCCTCATAACGGTACTGACCAATTCTCTAGACTAAGACAGATTTCAGAAAGTTTTTCTCCAATACCTATTTTCTCTCTACATTCACAATTCAGTTTTTTAGATAAATGCACAGATTTTTCCAGCCGCAGCAAAAACCCAAAGATAGACAGAAGGAATGAATGAAAGGAAGGAGGAAGATAAGCGTGAGTAGCCAGATTTTAGCCAATATATGCACCTGAAAACTATTGCCGACTGAGCTGCACAGAGAGTGAGACAATGGTCGAGTGTACGAAATGTGAAATCTGACAGTGTCTAATACTGTTGCCAAGAGTTACCGTAAAAGTCCAAGAAGTTACGGAGGCAAGTGCTGATCCTTTGCTATGGAATGCTGATAAGCTAATACCAAAGATTGTGTAGAAAATCTTTGCTAATACTGTCTGTCTGTCAGTCTTTTTAAACACATGGAGTTGATACGATGATGCGGCAGGTACGGAACTTTGGGAATGTACGGATTTCTGCAAAAACAGGGAAGACTGAAAGCACTGCAAAACGGGTTTTTTCTCTCTTCTACTTTTGGCACCCACTGCAAATCCTGTAATTTTGACACCTTTATCAGTATGGCGGTAGAACAGGCCCAAAATCAGTAACTACTGAAAAAATTGGTAGATTTAGGTAGCTTGGGGCAAAAAATCGGGATATCACGATTAAATCGGAATGAGTGGCACAGGTCTGCTTGTGGGGACTTTTTAACATTATAATGGCACTGTGTAAGGCAGCAACTTTTCCCCTTGACAATGGGTGGCCATCTTAGACAAATTCAACTGTATACATATAAATTTCTATGGAGGAAGAAAAAATACATACCCTGTGATGAAGCAAAAAGAGGTTGGCCACCCTTTGCAAAAACAGAATGCTTCGAGCAGCTCGCAGTTGACACAGGAATTCTTTCCCCTTTATTGCTACATCTCCGTTACGACCAAACCATTCAGTCCATAATAACAGGCTCCTGTACTGATACGACAAGATGTGGTCTTCATCGACCTGACAAAGAGGGAGAAAAAGCCATTAGAGATTGGCGAATTCTTGTTACGACCACAAAATTTGTTTTTTTCACTAACAAGCTTTCATTTGAGACTATCTTCTAATCGCTTATTTCTCACCAGCTTCTGTTGCATTGCACTTGTATACAGAATCAGAAAATACCAATACACATTCCTTTTTTCTTTTTCTTTTACAATAGATCATATCTCAAATAATATTTAGAACACACCAATATTATAGACCAACAACAAAGATTGCTTCCTAATTAAAATAAATTTCCTCTCTTCAGTTTGCAAAATCATATCAATTTCAATTTACAGGCAAAGAAAACATAAAACTAGCATCCAGCTCAGAAGAAGAAACACTGTCTACCAGACAAATGATTATGTGTGTGATATATAATACAAGATAGACATCAACTACAAAGCAAAGAAAGAAAAAAAGTTAAGCAAATACAAATGTTACATACACAAGTAGGACTTATCACCACAAGTCTCTTCAATGAAATATAGTGTCTTTTATTCACTCACTCAGTAAGTTGTTAACACCTCCCCCCCCAAAAAAACCCCCAACAATAACCCCCCAACAACTTAAAATACATTTGTTTTGACATAGACTGAATTAAAATACATTTCACTTCAGACTGACTTTAGATACATTTGACATACTCTGGTCTGATTTAAGATTCCATTAACTTTGACTTTAGATATATTTGATAAAGACTTACTATAGATCAAGAAAGGTTCTAAGGGAAGTCAATGGACATAGAGTGTCAGCTCACAAATCAAGGATAGGGCCACAGATAAACGTTTATTCATGTGACAATCAAACAGCACACTTCTACTTGACACAATGTACAAAGTATGGGCAAGGCTAAAAACTGGGCTAGTGTCAATAAGACATCTACTCATGAAGAAAAATTTACTACGGCAGTCCATGGGAAAGACACCAGAATGTACTGGTCTGGTGATAAAATATCACTGTCAGAAATGTTTTCTGATCAATTCTCACTGGAAATTGTATAGGAGATTCATTAACGATGTTTGTTTTGCATGAAAATGTACAGAAAACTTTAAAATTGCCCAAAAGCAAGAAGTCTGATTTTTTTACTTTTGCAAGCACTCAAACAATAACTGAAATTGGGAGTCATAGCAACATGTCCTTCCCCAGAGTGAAAGTACTTGTAGTAGTTGTGTTCGAACCATTGCCATCGCAGCTATTCATTGATCTGCAAGTGTTTTTATTTAAACCAAAGCCCGTGCACTCATATGACCTTATGCAGTTTGCGAGCGCCGTAAAACACTTACCAGAAAAAAAAACCCAAAGCCCAAAACTCGAAGTGCCCTATTCATAAAAAGTGAAAACTGAGTTTGTGCATGATAATTCCCCCCCCCCCCCCCCCCCCCCCCTCTGAAAACTGAGTTTTTGCCATGACGTGCTTTATGGAGGACACTATATCTTGAAAAGCTTTAACCCTACACTTTAGGAATTTTTACGGCCTAATATATGATTAAATGCCTCTGTCCTAACATTCATTTTGTTTGAAAAATTATAAAACTTTTTGGGGAAAAAAAACATTACAAAGTACAAAATATATTGTTTTTGGACAGTAAAACAATGGATCTGGAAATTCCACCCCTATTTAAAAACTATGATGATTTGCAAAAGTCTACCATTTTATGACACACATATTAACTGTATCACACTATGCAAAATTTAAATTTTCTCGAGTAAAATCATTTTTTCTAGAATATTCTTTGTATTTATCATAAAAAGACATGTCTTGACCTTTGAATACGCCACAAAACCCAAAATGAATTGACAAATATGAATCTCATTATTATCACTGCTTCACTGGAAACAACTAAATACAAAAAAAAACAATGCACATTCACAAATATTAACTGTTTCAGGATGGATGCAAAACTTTCTCGGGTAAGGCCATTTTGTTCTGGAGTTTTTTGTATATAACTGGCATGTCGAGACCTTTTAAAAAAAAAGTCTTGTTAGAGGTATTACGGAGCTCGCAACTGCATAAAGTCATATGAGTGCCAAGAGGTGGATGTCAACAGAGAAGTCGTTACAGAGAATCAGACTTACTCTGCTCACCTCTCTAGCTACAACAGCACAAAGTCTGCTTCGACTATCAAGGCACCCCAGAAATAGCGGGTCACAAGAGTGTGACAAACATACAAAAGAAGTAGAGGGAAATGACGATAGTAAGGATTAGTAAAGAAAAAGCAGCAGTTCCCTGTTGTAGTTCAGGCACAGTTATGAGCATGACATTGAAGGATCAGCCCCAGGGTTGGTGATTTTTTTGATTTTTTTCAAAAAATCAAAAAAATCGATTTTTTAAATTTAAATCATGATTTTTTAAATTTAAATCAGATTTTTTTAAAATGTCGACACAGTTTGGGATTTTTGGTTGCTAAAAGTATGTTCTTTTAGTGCAAAATGCATTGTCTTAATTTAACTAATGATTAAATTAAGCAACCTCAAAAGAAAGCCTTAATCTGCTATATAATAGTATATATATATATATATATATATATATATATATATATATATATATATATATATATATATATATATATATATATATATATCAATCAGTGAATTATTGCTACAGACAAAAAGTGAAGAAAATGTCAGTCTAAAAGGAAGGGGTGGAGGGGGGGGGGGTAATTATGCATAGATAAACTTGCATTTTATTACAGTGTGTGTGTGTGCACGCGCTTGTGTTTGTCTAAAAAGAAAAAGAAAATGTTAATTTCAATAATGAAAAAAAAAGTAAATTGAATGCTGTATTATTTTACAGTGACAGGGGGGAAAGCAGACTTTTAAGCATGATTTTATTAGTCTACTAAACCTTATATACTGTTTTATAAAACCAAGGAAAGGAATTCTGAATATTTAAAGATGTAAAAACAGAATACATTTTTTTAAAGTGATTTAAATCACTGATTTTTATTTTTAAAATCAATTTGTTTGAAATATAAAAAAAATCAACTGATTTAAATCAACCCAGCTCTGATTTCAATTATGAAAAAAAAAGTAAATTGAATACTGTATTATTTTACAGTGAAAGGTGGGAAAGCAGACTTTTAAACATGAATTATATTAGTCTACTTAACCTTATATCTGTTTTATGAAACCAAGGAAGGGAATTCTGAATGTTGAAATATGTAAAAACTGAATAAAAATAAATTTTTTAAAATGTGATTTAAATCACTGATTTTTATCCAAAAAATCAAGTTGATTTAAATTTAAAAAATCAACTGATTTAAATCAACCCAACCCTGATCAGCCCATTTACAATTCTACTGTGATTTAGAATGAGAAATGTCCCCCCCCCCTTTGGGAATGGCTTAAAGAAACTTCGGTCAGTGGCACCGCCCCGCGGGGTTATCGAGGCCTTTGAATAGGTCACAGAGCTAAAAATTAATTATGGAACTTAACAAAAATGAATCCTGTGTTTCACTGAGAACAACAGATAAATTTTTAAAACAATGCATAAAAACTACTGAAACTGAAAACTGGCTCTAAGCATACCTCTTCTTAAACAGCTTTGCAGTTTCAACGCCATTCATTAAATCATGCTAAAACAGCACCCATTAAAATTTATTTGTGAAAAAAAAAAAATCCTCTTTCCAATTAAAAAAAAATTTGATTAAGTATAAAGATATAGGATTTGTAGCTTCTCAAAAGCACTGGCCTTTTTAGTTCGATTTTTAAGAGAAAAAACCCCCAAAAATAACAAACTGTTGGAAAGTTATTGTTTACCACATTAGGGGATCCAATTTTTATGAGCTGGTGCTAAATGAACACATGAAGGATATTGCAAAGCTAGGGTTAACTTAACTCTTTCATTTCCTTCACTTGCAGTACACCACAGGTTCGACATGTGTTAAGAAAGTACAAAGGGGAAACAGACAGACATGAAACAGCAAAAATATTAGTAGTGAACAATAATGAACAAAAAGCGACATGCAAGAATACCTCCATGGGTATCATGCAGTCTTCCTTTTGTCTGCGATTGAGGTTGAACAATGAAGAAAATTTTCCAGGTTTCACTGGTGTTATTTTGGACGAGGAGTCGACTGGAGCCTTCCTCTGGGGTGCAGCCACTTCAGCCAGAGGTGTCTCAGGGTCTGGGTGGCCCTCTTCACCTACCAAAGCACTTGTTATCAGCTCATTAGGGCTTATCACCGCTCTCTGTTCAACAGCCACAGCTGATATTGACTTTTTCGCAAAGAGGTCATTCCGTTTTCCAAAATCGCCCTCTGAGTCGTCGGTCAGCTGTCAAACACATACAAATTTGTCAATGAATCCGAGAAAAAAAGAAGCACTGTATACAGTAAAACTTCGGTTACAACATACTCCACTTAAGGCATACTTTTGACAGCAACGCTTGCTTTTTGAACTCCAAAGTCCCATTTAGTAATTTTACTCTTGAAAAATTATGGACACAATGTGTTACAACGCGGTGGAATCAGGCACTCGTCAATTTTTGGGAATGTTGAATTATTAGTATCGTCATAAAGATTGTTCACTAGTCTTGCTTTCAAAGAAGAAAATACCTATCTATCTTAAATACATAGTTGCCACTCAGGAATTTCAAAAAAGGAGGAAATTCACGCGAAGGCGTACGCGCTCTCTCCGAAGGCCGGAGTAAAACCAGTGAGATCCAGAGGCAATATACTGGAAAATTTAGCAAACGGTTTTGGAAGGGAAAACTGTCATATTTGTTAACCATAGACAACTGAATTAAAATGATTTGAATCCCCCCCCCCCCCTAAAAAACACACACAAAAAAACAAAGGCACTAAGTTGACTAACAAGGATTTGAGTCAATTTGACACAGTTTGGACTTGGTCACTAAAAATCAAGTGTTTGTTGCCAGCTGATGTCTCATAAAAAGATTTCTTTCACTTTAAACTTGTACATTGATGTAGAGCAGTATTGGATCAGGGAGGCAACACCTTTGCCGCTGTACTGAGCGATTTCAGCACTCCTGTACAACAGCGGTCCCGTTTGCACTTAGTGCCCCTGTAGTGTGTTTCTTATTTAGTGATCTAAACTGAATTAAAATTATAGCCTAGGCTATCTAATCTAGATCTAGAATATGTGTAGACCTAGATTATATCTAGAGATAGATTATCTGGATCTAGACTCACTTCGCCAGCCACAATAGCCGTCATGTAAACAAACGGGACCGCAATTGTACAGGACCGCCGCGGGCCGCGATTTCTTTAGCGCAACAAACGCAAAGTGCAGCAAGCGGCTACATCTAGACTAATGAACTTTTCAAGTCGCACACCGGCTGCTTCTTTCTTTCTCATTCCAGTTCCTTTTATTTTTGCATTCTGCATCAATTTCTCTCAAATATCTGCAGTTTTCAATGACAACTCGGCGCGCCAACGTCTCGATGCCCGATCGACACTATGTTGCTCCACAACAATAAACAATGTGAAACTAGCGCTAGGCCTAGAAGAACGGAAGTAGAAAGCTACGGGCGGACATGCGCAAGCCGCGTTTTCGCCTCTCTCCCGGTTCGGTGTTTTTCATGAGTATAAAAAAAAAGTATCGCAATTTGCGACCGAGAGCGGTCCAGCAGAGGAAGGAGGAAAGTAGCAGGAAAAGCTAGAAGAAAGTGGCGGCTATGTAAATAGACGTCGAGATATTTGCCAATCAAGGAGGTGGGATTGCCTGGTTCCAGTGGAAAAATTAGCGAGAAAATGGCCGCCAAAGCATGACTACTACAGCTTGAGAATTCTTGGAAACTGAAAATTTACTTCTTTTTTTTTTTAAGCCTTTAAGCAACGTTTTTCAGTAAAATCCACATAGAAATGGTGACTGCCAACCCGGCCTCTCAATTTTCCGCGTGGGGTGCTCTCATCCATTTTCCAGGGGCATGTTATATAACAATGACCGCGCACTCCATACAAACACACACACACATGTATGTACATTATATCCAGTCAACATGTGACTTAGGTATTTCAGTCAGTTCTTTATTATTAATATATATACATATTCCCCTCATTATATTCTCCTACATAAACTATATAAAAATGAATCTTGTTTTCAGCCTGAGAAAAGGCCTAGAACCAGAATATCGACTGTCAAGAACCAGTTTGGGTGTCAAGATTTATGTAATAAACATGAAAGACAAAAATTATTGCTCAAACTCAAAAGTAGAGTAATAACTTGAATGGCTCAAGTAGACCTATTCAGTATGAGAGTTGTAAGAAATATGGGAGGGCAAGATGCAGTGACAGTAAAAATCTGCGAATCTTGAACAGAAAGCTAAAATATAGATAATACAGGTAATTACTATCACCCATCCAATGAAACGTGAACCCTGTAGTTAAATAACACAGCTTACAAGGTATGAAGATATGAGAATGACGGATCCCGATTCCATACAAGGCCTGCACCAACGCGTTCTTTGCAGAGAGCTCAAGTAGTAACCAAAATCCTAAACACTAAAATTTGCTTCCAAGTTCAGCTTTTGTCATCTGGGGTTGCCTTTAGCCCCATCTTCCCTCCCCTGAACGTCTTTTTTAAAAAAATCAAAAGTCCCTCTATTACCGAGTCCTATACTTCGCAGCGCCCAGACTTTGAATGAACTTTGGTGACCCCAACCATCACTGGCACTCACAAGGTAAGTACTGATCTTTTGCTACAGGATATCACCCGTAGCCTTACATTTTAACCACTTTTTTAATGGATGGAGGTGATAAAGATGGCGGGAGAAATCTACCAGTTTCAAAAAGTATGGATTTCCGTAAAAATGCTGAAGACTAGAAGCACTATTTATGACTATGCCACTGAAGTCAAGAAGCTTACAGCAAAGCACTTTCAGAGAAAGATGATTGATGCCCTTTAAAACTCCTGCAGTGGAGCGACCTCAAAGAAAACTTTGGCCACCAAAAGATGTCTGGGGAAACTTGTCTCAATGCTGCAAACATGAATCATTTCCCTGAAACTTGAGGACAATAAGTATACGCCCAGGCATGTTACACATAACATATTCGGAGACAAATCAGATAACCCACCAACAGGGAAACTAATAACTATAACTTAATAAAGGCAAAGAGCACACCACCCACTATGTGAGTGCAACTACCTGCAGTATGCTGTGGTGGTGTTTTATTATGGCCCAGAAGAGACTGAAAGCTTGTGCCAGTCGGTCATCCCACTCGTGAGACACATCTTCCAGTTCCAGAATGCCGATAGCCGTCCCGATGGTGTTCAGAATGTGTCTGTAACATCGAGTGAGAGCAAGATGACAGTTGTGCTAATATTAGCCTATTAAAAAAAATGGTTTCTTAATGTGTGGTATCTGTTGCGAATGCATGCTCAAGAAATATCTTGTCAAAATTAAAATTCTAAATATTGAAAAAAAAATTTTTTAATTACATACTGTAATTATAATCATTTTAAAAAATGAAACATTTTTCTCAAACTCGTAAAAATTTTACTTTCTGGGCTTAGAACAATAGAACATGTTGACATATAGTGTTCATTTCGTGATAACTGCTCTTACCCGAAACAGCATCAATACAACAATGGTACACCAGATATTCATTCCACCGTCTAGAGCAGACACTTTATAAACATTATCCAATGTATTTGAGTTTACTTCCAGAGACACACATAGCTGCAAATAAAAGTAAAGTTAGCAAAAATTCCCAGTGCATAACAGCACCCTTCACTCAAATGTGCGATTTAGCTACACAGTGGATTCTTTACTATATAATAACTATATACAGTCGAAATCGTTCAAGACTGCCACCCACCGTCTAGGAGAAAAGTGGTAGTCCTAGACAGATGGACATCTTGGACAGTGCATTATATTCAGGGGAAAAAATGCCAACAAACGGAATGCGTAGATTGCTTTGATAAGACCATTCTATTTCCATCTTTTAATAATAACAATAAGAAATAGTATTTAAGCTGTGCATTTTAAAAAGAAAAAGAAAAGCTTAATGTGTCTTTCAGCTAAAGATATACAGTCAAACCTGTGTAAGACGGCCACCCATTATCAAGGAGAAAAGTGGCCGTATAAGACAGATGGCCGTCTTAGGCAGGACTGATCAAGACGAAGAAAACAAACCATTCCCTTCTGAAGTCCCAATCGACAGTTGTTGTTTTTGTTGTTGTTGTTGATTTGTATTTTGTTTGTTATTTCTATTTTGTTGCTGATTTTGCGCAAGGGTGACAATAACGCGAAATGTATCAGACGAGGAAGACCGAGTGCGGTGTTAAAACAAACACATGGGTCGCCCCCCACTTAGAGAACAAGTGACGCTTCTGTCACAAGTTCATGTTGACGTCCATTGTTACTTTGTTACAGACTGGGTATACAGTGACCACTCATCTCACTTACGATTTGCGTATGAGCCCTGGGCAGGGCCTATGGGTTATGAGGGATCACACGCTTACCTCACCAGCAGCTGAAAATTGGTACGTCAGGGCAGGTTCCACTGTATTTATCACATTTTAAAATTACTTGACAGTGGTATACTTCGATTGGGACTTCAGATGGGAATGGTTTGTTTTCTTCATCTTGATCAGTCCTGCTTAAGACGGCCACCAGTCTTATAAGGCCACTTTTCTCCCTGACAATGGGTGGCCGTCTTACACAAGTTTGACTGTATTATGAATATAAGAACTTCTTATGAAAAAAATTGTCATGCAGTGAACATGGCAAAAGATTTATAACAAATAAGTTGCTCTCAGCTTTAACCCCTTCGCTGACGAAACTGGTGTATAACTCATAATTTTAGCTTTGTGCTGTACCATGGTTCTCAATGAAGTTGGTAAAATTTGCCATTCCTGGCTGTCTATAAGATGTTATATGCAGACCTGCCAATCTTAGAAATCTAAAACTCAGATTTTAGAGTTAAAAAATCAGGATCTAGTGAAAAAAATCGGGATCAACAGCAAATTAGTCATAAGGGGCACTGGGGAAGACGCGGGGGGGGGGGTCCTGGTTCCCTTTTATGAGGCAAGTATGCAAGACAAAGCTTTTTGAAAACTGAAAGACAGCATATATATGTACTCGAATCGGAGTTGGATAGACTGAGGGAGCGCAGGTTGCACTAAAGCTGAAACTCTCGTAGTCTTGAAAATAGCTGATACATAATTCTAACCATCCAAGAAAAAGTCAGCGTTTTCATAAAGTAACAACGTTTGTTTTTCCTTGGATAAAACCACCAAGGGACCCCCCCCCCCCCCCCGAAAAAAAGATCCAGCCAAGGTTGTTCATTTTTTTTTCTTATTTCTTTCCCCTCAATTAGTACCTGTATCATGGCACGCACTTTAAGCCCAAGAGTAAAAAAATAACACCCCCCCCCCCCCCCCCCTTCCCCCCCGGTTAAGTCCCGAAAAACACCTCAACCAATGCGACCGGTGTGAATGAACTTTGTTGACCCCGACACACGCGCTACTCACTACACGTACGAGGTCATGTCATGTGATGCGAATGAGCGTTTGAAAGTTCCACTGACAGGTCTTGATGGGCCTGACTAACCAGAACTCAAGACCAAGCTTGCCTTTAAAGCAACGGCACAATGGTTACAGTAATCAGGACACCATCGGAGAATTCTGGGTTATAAAAGCGACAGTAGATCTTGAGCGTATTCAAGTGGGAATTCAAAATCGATACTGCATTGATTTTAGAAGAAATAAAGTGCGTGATTCAACTACTAGGTTCGGTGTAGATGCTTTAGAAAATAGCCTTCTAGGTTCCAGCTGATAAAAAGTCTAATCGGTGCTTCCAAGCAAAAGATACTGCAGAACTTTTAAAAAAAATTTCTCTAAGAATCGGACGCAACAGACGCAACGACAAAAAAAATCAGGATCGAAATCGGGATGCTTGAAATTTGGGGAAAAAAATCGGGATATCCCGATTAAATCAGGATCAGTGGCAGGTCTGTATATGTATGTTTTACTAATCATCTAATTCTTCTGTAAGAAGTTACCCGAAAGCACTGCATGGATTTGTATTCTGGCATTTTAAAAAGTGCATATGGGTTCCAAATTTGCTTGTATTACTTGACGGCAAGGCATGCAGGGGATTGATAAGCACAGGTCTAGTCTTGCAAGACGAAAGTGTGTTCTCAATAAACGTAAATACTAAAATGACTTGAAAAAGGCAACAATTTCACTTTTTAACTCAGATTCGCAAGTTGTTTGAAATTATGGGAAAGTTAAGGAATATAGCGAATGAGAAAAGTTAGGAAAGAGACAATAACAAAGGTCTGGGGTTCGAAAAATGTCACGATTGGGCCAGATCTTGATAGCAAGTCCACTGACACTGAGACAATGAGACTGCTGTCTTGGCTAACGAGCTTAACTGACAATAAGTGCTGTCAGTAGGAACGCACACTGCCTAGCAAAAAACGAGGTGTTCCTGAGATACTCACACGGGTAGGTTGCTGCTGTTAAGCGTTGTGTCATTCCACAGGACTTCTGCAAACGTCACCATGGTCAGCCCTTGGTCAAGTTTACTTGCGCCAGAATGGGTTTTCAAACAAGGTAGTAGGGCCATTAGATGATGGTGGCTTGCTAGGCTGCATTGTGGATAGGCGAGCGTGTGTTGTGGGGGTAGGTGGATGATGAGAAGTAGAAAGGAAAATTTTTTCAAAAATATTTTACAAAGTCAAAGTAAAAATCACACACAATGTAAGAAGCAGATTTCTAAATACACTATTGCACTGCAGATCTCCACAAGGGCTAAATGAAAGTGTATAGTTCAGGAATATAAACATGAAAGATTGCAGCAGAAATCAGAAAGAAAATTAATGACAAGACTGAAACCCAACATCTTGCAAATTATAAATCAGTGACTCTACAGCAGCTGTCCGGAAATTACAATTTAATGGCCAATGTGTCTTTTGTACAGCATAATGTGCACGCTGGACAACCTAAAACTTTTTTCATTACTTCTAAAAAGATCCAGAGATTAACCCAACCCTTCTCTTACACCAAGGAGAGGCTCCTGATAAACATCTCAAGAGGATGACACCTCTACAAAATATGTGGCCTAGCCATGTCTGGAGTGCACAATTCACCCCCTTTCAGAAGGTGAGATCTCAATTTCAAAACCGTAAGTTCCCAAACTAATGAAGCCAAAGAAAGAAATCAAACCGGTGGACCCAGAACCATACCTGCGACGAGCCCCTCTAATGATGTTTGTGTTGAGCAAGAAAGGAAAAGAGCCTTTGGAAGACCTTCATAACATTCCTAATCAGTGTCATGGCTCAACGAAAGAGAGTAGAAGAGGATATCTCAAGTCACTAAGTTCTACTTTACACAACTCAACACCGTAAAAGCCACTTCCCAAAGTCACGAAGTTCCCCTTTACAGCAGCTCAATACAATAACAGCCTCGTTTTTCGCGGAACGGATCAAAATAATAGAAATTATATTGTCGGCCACCTTTTCAGATGAGCTACGCCCAAAATGTTGAAATTTCTTATAATAGCAGTTTCTGAATCTGGGGTTCAGGCTGCATCTGCTCTAGGAATATTTAGTCAAAATTAAAATTCTTAATACAACATCTATAGTGGACCTGCGGAGGAAATGGGAGTGCAAGGCCCTTATACAGTACGCCAAGGCCACAGCTATGGAGGATCATATAATGCACGCAAGAACAGCCAGACCAAACACCACAAGACATGCGAACATGCTGAACCACACCGCGGAGGCACCATCATGGGAAAAGAAAACAAAAACATAATTATACACACTTCCATCCCTATGTTCAGGGGCAAAAGATGACCACAGTGACCTGAGCAAGAAATCCCTCACCCTATCCATGCTCAAAGAAAGATACCCCTGAGAAGCATGGATATGGATTTATACGGACGGATCTGCCACTAATGCTGGAAAAAGAGGAGGAGCGGGAGTGTACATGCAGTTCTCAAATGGACGACGCCAAGCAGAGGCAGTCCCCCCAACAGGGCGGCAGTGTACAAACTACAGGGCAGAGACGGAGGCTCTAACACATGCAGCGAACATCTTCAGGGATGTGGTACACCCCCAAAGCCAAGTAGTATTCTTAACAGTTGCCATGTCAGAACTGCAGGCAATCACTGCCGGCAAACTACCAAGGCTGCTAGAGGTAATTGAGGACATCACATGCCTGGGGATGCTGCAGTGGATTCTATCGCACTGTGGTATCTTTGGATATGAACAGGCAGACAGGATGGCCAAACTTGGAGCACAGAAAGAGCAACCAGACAACAGCGTCAGTAGAGGCTATATGGACCAACGCCAAGAAGAAATACATAATTTTGATGCAATTGTTACAACAATAAAACAGTGTCTTCTCTTTCGAAAAATTTTGCTTTCTGGGCTTAGAACAATTTAAGGGCTTGCTGAAGAAAAGAAATAGAAGGACCACACAGTGCCAGATAATTGAACAACTGCCCACAGACTATTTGAAATACACAACACATGAGCATGAGCGGAAAGCAGGGAGAAGGTTACCTGTCTGATCCCACCAGAATCCACATGAGTATCTTGTTTACAAATTCAAAGTGCAGGCTGCAGTTTGCCTTTAAGGGTTCAAAGATATCCAGGATGTAGCTGAAAAAAAAAATAATAAGATTTTTAAATTTTTAATTGTCAGCATTCAGTAACAGCATAAGTTATTACAGAAACTACCATCGTTGAAAGGAAAAAGGCTTTGGTAGCGGTGACACTCAAAATAAACAAGAAAACGACCACACCAGAGTGACAACAACCACAAGCTTTTGTTTCCCCGTATGAAATAATGGGATAAAAGTTGTTATAGCAATTTAGCATGTGTAAAAGAAATGATCTATACATACTTTACGAGGATGCAACTAGTGGTTGCCATAAGAAAAGATGGCCATCTCGGAAAAAAATGCAAAAACACAGATTTCCATCGCCTTATTATGGACTCTCTAAATCGCGTTTTCTTTCAAGCCAAAAATAGGAAAACCGGCGCTACTTTCATCATTTAGTACTGCAGAGCTGATTCAACATAATTTACGTTTTAATATCTATTCTGATGAGCATTCACACAAAATCTTTATTTAAAATGATTAAAAACTCAGCTACAAAACTTGTCCTTTGGGTATTTGGCAGGTCAGCACTTAAACCAAAGAGACCTGACGAAATGCACCAAACACTCACAAGGTACGGGTTTCATAGGCAGCCTTGGACAGTGTCCGCATCACAGGAATTGAGAGGAGACTGGTGTCAATCCGGGCGGCTTCAGAAATCACCCACGCCATCTGCTTAAACTGTTTCATCTTTCGGTAGCTTTCTGCCAATACTTCGTGATGGCTCACCGATGGCAACTGTCAGGACAAAACAAAAGGAGAGCATAAAAGAATAAGGGCGGGTGGTGTGGTGTTTGCGCTTTGATAGGACAGCCATCATATATCACCATATTCACAGCTAGAAGGCAATGAAAAACTGATGACTAGAAGAAACTAAAAATCATTTTAAAATTTAAAGTAGCTGTTTTTACGCCCCTATCAACACAACTTAGATCTCATTTAGTAGGCAGGCTTCGACCATGAAAGTCAGAGCCAACCCACACGGAGAGGGATAAAACATCCCAATAGAAAGAGCAAGATGTTTGATTTAAAAAACCTACCTATCTGGGAATCAAATTGGGTCTCCGAAAGCCAAAGCAGACACCAGCTGACATGACAGCCCAGGCACAAAAAATTAAAATTAAAATCAATCAGCTCTGACAATTTTGTCTCAGATTTTCACGACTTCCATTTCTCTAATTTCCCAGCAGTCTTTTCAATTATGTGTGTAAAACCTTGACATGAGGGTAAAACAAAGTCTAAGACTTGCCTCCTAATTCTTCTTTGCGTTACCCTGCTAAATCTGAGGGGAAGTCGACTGCTGGTTCCTGAACCTATAGTGCAACTGATATTTTACGTATATAATTGTTTTCCCTACTTGGTAGGGCCCCTTACCTTCAGGCAGCAAGATTCCGATTTTGAAGGCATGGTTTGATTTTGACTACAGTATTTTCAGTTTTGATAGGAATTAATTTTGAATCTTGTCCATTTGGCCAGTGGAGCCTACTCTTACCAATTTTAGGACCAAGGGATCTTTAATGTGTGTTACTTGCACAAAGGACCTTTGAGATTTTTTGCTCCTATCCTAGCAAGCAAGGTGTTTGGTCTTATCTACCATACGATCTGCAGTGTCGCTGAAAGACAGCAGTAAAAAGGAGCCAAGAGTAACAGCAGAAAGAGTCAGGAGTGAAAGAGAGAGGAGCACAGAGGAGGCCAGGAAAAAGTTGAGATGAAAGCAGATAACAGACTCGGACTAAAGAACAGGAAAGGCGGTGAATGAAATTTTTTTAGAGACGAAATGTTTTTATTGTTGTCAGATTTTGATACAACTAACTTTAGAATGAGAGGTAAACACCATACCTCTGGACCACGAGAGCCTCTACTGCATCCTATTTTTTTATATGAAAATACTTGGAAGTCCCATAGATCTTATAAATAAAGAAATTTAAAATGCGATAAAAATAGATAATCAGCCTCTTTCAGAGATATTGCACTTATCAATGGAGCCCACTTCGAACAAAAAAGGCCTCACTCTATTTTGTCAATGTTCCTCCTTCACTCATTTTATTGGGCCTACATACATATTCACAGGGCTGTGCGCTTGCCATGGCCGGTCTACACGAACAGACGTAGCGAGTATTACTATGCAAAACAAACTCTTATCCAAGCATTCCGGTTTTCTTAAAGAATTAAAATGCCCCACCATTTTGAAAAATAAATAGCCTTTATTCTCAACAACAACAACAAAAAAACCCGTTAAAATCTGAGACAAACTACTATAACAAACTAAGTTAGGAGACTAGAAGACCCCCCCCCCCCCCCCCCAAAAAAAAAGGAAGAAAAAAAAGCTAAATAAAAACAACAAAACAACAAAACACACACAACCCCCCCCCCCCCCCAAAAAAAACCCCCAACAAAACACACACCAAAAAAAAAGAAGAAAGAAAAAAAAAAAGGTTCGCAACAGAGATTTCTGTGTGTGAAAAAAAATATCAACCACATTGTTGGTTTTGTGTTAGGCATAAAAGATGAAGAATAAAAAAGTAGAAAAATCTAAACAGACATGGTTTTCACTTTGATTTTAGTGCTTTGAAAGCCTTGAAGAAGAGCAAGATTTACTAGCAGTTGCTATAGTGGAATCAAGCTCCAATGAGCTAGTCTGACAAAAAGAATTAGATTGTTTTCTCAACTTTCATATTTTTCTTCCCTCCAATATTTTGAAAGATCATCTGAAGTAAAACTCCATATAGATCGGATAAGTATTTTGGGCACAGTGCGTGATTAAAACGTTAGGTGGGGACAAGTGCACTGCCCATGGCTACCCAGGGTGAACAAGATTAAAACATCAATAAACGTAAAATCTCTATACGATTACAGACATGAAAGCAAACACATTTTAAAGACTTAAATAAGCTATCAGACTTACCATTTCTGCTACATCCACCACAGGCCACAGGGGACACAAAAGAGTTGTCACTTCCTCATAGCGGTGGGAGCGGCAAAGACTTTTACCCACAAACCCGAGCATTTGTGCTGAAATATCAATTCATGACTTCCATCGACTTGGATACAAGAGAGACACCACGTGAACAAATATAGAAGTTTTTTTCAGAATCCTCCCTAAAAAATCTGAATTTCCGGGGAAAAATCGGGAGTCTCAAGAACCCCAATAAATTAAGATAACATTAAAAACCGAAAGTAGCAAAAAAAAATGTGTATAGCAAATACATAGAAATAAAAATGTGGATTTTCATGTATTTATGACTAATAGTCGTGCAAATACTGGAAAAGAAAACAATATGTGAGGCAGCGTGGTGGAATCAGGCTCTCGTCAAAATAATCAAAGTGAAGAAACTTGCATTTTTCCTCAGATTTGTGAAATTGTATCGAATTTTTGTTTTTTGGCTCAACACCTTTCATGTCCATTAAAGAAGTCATTTCTGAGTGAAATTTTCTGAAAAACGATTAAAGGCACAAAAAAATGTAAATTTTCAGTTATCACGGACTAAGGAAATAACTACGCTTTGGCAGCCATTTTCTCTCTAATTTTACCTCTGAAAACAGGTGACCCCCTCCTCCTTCTTTCGCAAATATCTCGACTTGTATTCAGGATAAATGGATATATTTTTCATCCAAATAAAGACAAGTGAACAAGCTTTATAATGAAACAAATAACTCTACATGCCCAAAAATTGACGAGAGCCTGATTCAACCACGCTGCCTCACATATAATTCGAAGTCATTTACGATAAGTTTTGTATGACTGATGGAAATGGAATTCAAGAAACAGGATTTTATGAAAGTCCCATCAGCTTCTTTCTTTCAAGGGTTAAAAAAAAAAATTTTTTAATTGAAGGGTCCTGATTTTTTATCAGAATATTTTGCAGGTCTGACATGAGTACACAATACATGACTGAGCAAACAAGCCCCCAAGTAAACTTTTTTCATTACAACGACACTAATATAAAACTTTTTCAAAAGTTTTTTATTGGGGGGTAAGTGTTTTACGGCACTAGCAACTGCATACGGTCATATGAGCGAGCGGGACACATTTTCAGTTGGTAAGGAATTTTGAATTTTGCCCGGGTGGCAGCCGAAGCCTACTCTTTATCGATTTTGGACCACCAAGGATCTTTAATGAGCGCAACTTGCACACAGGCCCTCCGAGATTTTTCGCCCTCGTCCGAGAAGGCTAGGTGTAGATCTTTCCTACCAGAATATCAGGGGTGTGGCTGACAGACAGCAGTAAGGAGCCAAGGAGTAGCAGTAGAAAGGCTGCAGAAAGTCAGGGGCCCAGTGGAGGGGGCAAAGGAGGTGAGGGCGTGGGGGAAGAAAGCGGAAACGAAAGCAGTGACAGGATATTGCAAGAGAGAAGGAAAGAAGGTGAAAGGAGACAATGTTAGAGAAGAAAATTTTTCGATCGTTTCCCTGATTCGAACCCGGGACCTTCAGGTCACAAGAGTCCCCTTTTAAAAGCTTACCGGTACACAGCAATGAATGACTAGCCGTGCCGTAGTTTCTAAAAATATTTAATAGTCAAGTGCTTCACAGGTCAAAGCCAGCCCACCCCCTGCACCCCCACCCCCCCCCCCCATCCCATGTTTCTTTAAATTTAAAAAAATTTCCAGAGCATCGATCCCTTTGCTCTACACATACAGCCAGCATTTATTGACAAAAATAAATCTGCAACCAAAATATTTGAAGACCAAACATGATGAACAAATGCTTTAATCAGGAAAAAAAAAAACCCTCTTGTCCTGCGTCTATGCTGAGATGCGAATCTTATCAGCAACCGATTACGTCGGAAGTTCCGGGCAGGCCGCCGGGGTCACTCATTGTGTACTGTTGGTGTGTTAATCGATGATGAAAATAACTCTATCTTTCATAGCTTTCTATTTATAAAGTGTTACAAACACATAAATAACCCCCTCTCATAAGCTGATAAGACATTACGAGTAGTTACACCCATTCGAATAACCTTTCTAGACGCTCTTGTTGTTATGAATAACCTGGGGTTCCAAAGGGGATAATATAGGTCAATTTCCGAATGTTTTGCACTTAAATTGTTCTTTGTACCTGCACAATGGTATTTAAAATTATCAAAAATTCTTATTTTTTATCCGGTAGTATCATTTCACACAAAATCAAGCTCATTTGAAATATTTTGTATAGAAAAATGAAAGTCTTGTTTCCTGACTATCCTTTCGAGCTCCTCATGTCAAAGTGGGTCAATTTGTACTATACGCAGGCGGTCTTAGAAGAAGGCCACAAACGCACACAAACTCAAGCAGACTGACGCACACACACTTGAGCTGCGTGAATGCGGATCCGACGCGGGACCCAAGTTGAACGGGAGATGATGCTCTGAGTGTGTGCGCTGAGCCTGGGGCCAGACTGATGTGGGACCACAACGCAGGCGAGGTGCAGAAATAGGGTTAATAACTTTAATATTTACGGTTACTCTTTTAATACCTGTGGCTTCCAGAGTTTTCGTAACAACTGAGTACAAGGCGGGACACGACTTTGCTTGACTAGAATCCCTGCAGTGTCGCACCATCGAACACTGAGCTGACAAGACCAGCTTGAGATACTCAGCGACCAACTGAAGATCAGATGTACCTGAAACAGACAGATAGAAAGAAAGCATAAGGTGCAGAAAATCATTTCTGAATATATACAACCAAACAAAAAATGCAACGCTACCCAAAGACAACTGGTAAAAACAGGCAGCCCACAGGGTGCTCACTTCCAAGCTGGTTACAAAAATAAAACAGCTCTGACAATCAATAAACTAAATGGGTAAAAGAAGAACTTTGTCTTTACAAAAGATCATAAACTACAAGTTGACAAAATTATATTTACTGAGTAACTACTAACAAGGAAGAAATTGATCCTAGAGGATTCTTTTATTAAGAAGAATTCAGAGAATACAGTAATATATCAAAACACTGAAGTAAAATCTTTGACGAAAAATCATGACAGGGAAATCTATCATCACATGATGATCATCTAAATAACCCTGCGACTCACTCATTTTAGAATCCCCCAACACAGCAGAAAGCATCGGTACTCTAATTTTGTTGACCATGGCCAGGGAGTAGGTTCGCTGCCGTAAAGACGGATGTTCTGTTTTCATTGAGAAGAGGGTGAGTACATCTCTACACAGAAGCTCAACTGCCACCGAGGTTAAGCCAAACCAGCTCAGGTGGAGAGCTCGCTCACAATCCTGAACCTGGGGGTGCAAAGACAGAGACCTAGTCTGTGAGAAACAATCTGATCACACAAAACATTTGGGTTTTAGTAAGTTTTACAGCAGTTGCAACACAAGTAGGTCATATAAAACACACCAGAGTTCCCGCCAACAGTCAACCACACATGTCAAACATTTTGAAGCGCCATACAAAACGGAAAAGAATTATCAGTCTCCTTGAAGTGAAATATGTAACGTTATAAAGTTAACGATAGGACAGTGAGAAGTTTGAAAGAGCAATTTTGAAGATATAAAAGTTACATTTTGTAAGTTAAACTGAGTCCACTGTTTAGCAACCACATAACTCACGATGACTAAGGCAATAGGGAAAACGATTACATATCTCTGCCCTAAAAAATAATAAAACAATATCTTTAAAGTAGTATGGCAAAATTTACTGACACTGACCAACATCTTTGTTTTCATTTTTTTTTTTTTTACACATCGCTGAAAGCCTGTGGTAGAAAGAAGAAAGTATGTAGGTTACACTTAGCTACCTGGAGAATGTTTTTCTTTTAAAAAATTATCAGAAACAAGCTCTGTGAGAAGTTTGACTTTGATGTTTGACCAAATATGAGATTTAATTACTATTAACTCACTTCAGACGGGTCACACAACAGTTGCGTGACCCCCGCGACGGGTCTCACAAGCCCTGCGTGACCAACTTTGGATTTTTTTTTTCGCTCTACAAATCACGCACAGATCGCGAGACCCGCCTCGTACCCTTGTTTGGCCAAGCCTGAGCTACTTAGACTTCGTTTCGTATCTCTGGGGCCGGTAGTTTTTAAGTTATTGAAGGTGAAGGACAGTGACCCCAACTGGGGTTGAACAGACCGGAACTTGCGCTTTGTTTTTTTCTATACAGCTGACAGTAATCCGACAGTCGCGTCGTAGTAACGGTCGAAGAAGTCGCATGAACAAGAATCACGTAATTTCGCCGTTTTCTATACTTCTGTGCGTTTTACTAGTTTTAGTGTCTCACAATATGATGTGTCTAATAGTTAGGATCCTGGATATGTACCCGAACAAGGCCCGAGTCGTAGTTCTAGGGCTAGATCTAGGGCAACGAAATCACAATGACGTGCCGTACATCTGTCTCATGTAATTCAGTGTATGGGTCTGAATCAATGCACAGACCAGCTTTTATATTTTCCCCAAACACTCGCACATGTATACAAATCAAACCAGAACACTTTGAACTTTTATTTTTGTTGTTGCAGTGAATTTCATTCTACTTGTCACGTCTCCGGAAATTTTTCGGAAAATCAAATTCAGGCCAACTTTTTAAAAATCATACAAATTAAAGTATTAGACTTGGACAACTTTAGTTTTTTGTATTAGATTAAGCTTGAATGTTACTTTACTGTGTCAAAAAATGATTACAATAGGGTAATTCTGAGAGTTGTGGTGATTTATTGAAATACCCCCCAAAACGCCAGTCTTCAACGCTTGTGACTGGTGAAAGGGCCCAGTCGCAAGTGAGTTAACTCATTCGCTACGCCGAGCCATGGGAAGGGGCGGGGCTAAAGTGCCGTCAGTACGCTAAGCCACCCCCGGCGGCTCGAGAACCGGCAATCAATTTTAGCTTGGTTTCTATTCCAATCCACATATCCATGTTAAAATAAAGGTCATAATACAATGTTGACTTCCGGGTCAAGCGTTTCCACCGAAAATCGGAAGTTTTGATTCAGTTTTGAAACACGATTTCAAAGTTTATGCGACTTTGTTTTATCGTGAAGCTCAAATTAAAGCCCAGACACTAGTCTTAGTACTTTTACACAACAAAATGTATCATTATTTGGCTCACTAAAGAAATGTAGGACTCTTCTTTATAATATTGATACTATTGGACTCGAATTGCCAGTGCACTGTTATTGAGAAATCAGTATTTTTGAGTACTAGATCTAAGCCTAGATTTAAATAGTCAACATTTTTTTTCTTCCCAAAATCAATACTTTTTGGTGAAATTACTCAAAAAGTACCACCCAAGACATGTATAGGTTTATTCCAAATGCAATTCTGATTAATTCCATATAAGATACGAGTGTTTTTTTCTGTTTGTGATTCTATTTTCAAAATTATAAATTAAAACATTTTTTTTTCAATATCAAATGTTATGATCCAAATGTACAAATATTATGGAACGTATGTAAATAACAGCACATTTTTCAATATTTTCCTGTTCTATATACAGTTATGGTTATTTTGATGTATCATTTGACTAGGTCCAAACATATTTTTTGAGTTTTACCTGAGATTAATTTTTTATTTTCAAATTTTATCCGCATCCAATCACAATTGTGATGCATAATCGCCTCTTACAGGAACCAAAGTTGAAAAATACACAAATAAACGATACAGATGTATTCTACAAACCATACTGAAAATGTTGGTTTATAATATGTTGATATTTATTTGAATTTATGGCCCCAAAAACCTGTGAACTGCGCACTAGTCATCATCTCATTTCGCCCTCCCGAAAAAAATTCGCCCACAAGCCGAAAATACGTAGCGAATGAGTTAACAGGCTTACAAAATGTTGTTCTTCCTGTAAGGACTGCTTACATTCAAATTTTGATGTTTTGTTCTATTTTAGTAGAGGTTTTATGGTTCTCGAAAAAGCATACGATTATATGAACGCCAAGGGGTGGATTTTAACAGAAAAGTCCTTTCAGAGAATCTTCACTTACTCTGCTCACCTCTCTAGCTTCAACAGCACAAAGTCTGCTTCAACTATCAAGACACCCGGAAGAGTGGGTCACAAGAGTGTGACAAACATTCAAAAGTAGGGCACAAGATAATTCAACTCATACCTTTGGAGAGGGAAGGGACAGCAACAATGCACTCATAGCCCTGCCAACAGACAAAGGAGGAGCACATCCACCTGAACTCTGGTTTCTGATCAATTCTTCCATCATCTTCAGGTCCGCCATAACCTTCAAACAGAGGAAGATAAAAAATGTTGAGAGAGAGAGATGCAGTCGAAATTGAACAAGGCTGCCAACTATTGTCAGGGACGGTGTCATTTTAATGGGGGGGGGTGTGGTGGTGGTGGTTGGGAAGGGGTCGGGGTTGGGGTGGTAGTGGTGGCTGTGGTCGGAACGAGGTGGGTGGGATGGATTTTGATTGTTTTGATGGTGGTGGTTGGAAAAGATTGTGGTGGTTGGAAAAGATTGTGATGGTGGTGGTGGTTGGGAAAGATTGTGGTGGTGGTTGGGAAAGATTGTGGTGGTGGTGGTGGTGGTGATTGGGAAAGATTGTGGTGGAAGTGGTTGGAACTAGGTGGATAGGGTGCATTTTGGTGGTTTGTGGTTCTGGACAGTAATGATGTATCGGATCTTTTCTTATCTTATCTACACATTACAAAGATTT